GGGGGGGGTTGTTGGTGTGATAGAAATAGAACGACTATAATTGCAATGTCTGTAGAAGTAGGACTTTTCTACCAGTAATTGCTGGCTATACAATGTGGTTGACTTTGTTAAGTAACGTGCTATTTTAAAAATGACAATTGACTTTGACTACAATTGAGAGAGGACTTTGACTACAATTGCGTTTTAGTAGCAGCTCACAATATTTCAATTGATGAAATCTTTTGTATTTGAATAAGTGGTTTTTATGTTAAAGATAATCTTCTTTTGATTCTTAACAATTAATAGAGGAATACTTTAACTTGAAAATTCAAACAACATTAGATGTTTGTGCTATAGATTACTTGTCCAAAATCTGTACTTCTTAGGCGAGACCTCTTATTCTGTAAACACTTGGGTGATACGTAAACTAATTATCTATCGCATAGAAGTACCAATCACCGAAAAATATATATTTTCGAACCGTGGAATACAATTCATATATTACCATGCATATAATTGTGTAATTGTTACAGTATCAACTTCTCATATTTCATGCATTACTACGAGTCTACGACTTTCAGATTGTCACTCTCTTTATCTTCTCTTACAGAAAATACAGGCCTCTTGAGGGAATTCATAGCTAAATTTGCATTCTATAACATAAAAGAAACTTCCAACATTGTAGGCATGTCCAATGGATTGTTTTGGACACATAATAGAGCAATTTGCATGCAATTGCAAGATAATGTTGTATCGTCAAGATGGCGAGTTCTCATGTTCGCCATAAATTTGTGACGGAAGCAACGTGTGCCAATCACAAATTTGTAAGGAATATCAAGATTTATCACAATTTCGTCATCCGTAATAATTGAATCTCATCATCCATACATAACAAATTAAATTAATGTAGTATATATATTCATATTATAATATATCATGAACAATAAGAATCGATATTCTTATTGATACTATAACTCATAGGGAAGAAAATTGATGTATAGATAGAATCAAATATGCAATATTTACGAACAAAAATATTCGGTTATTGGAAAAAAAAAATATACTTTTAATGTCGAATCGGGATCAATTAAGATCCAAATAAAGCATTGGGTCGAACTCTTCTTTGATATCAAGGTAATATCTATGAATAATTATAGACTTTCGGGAAAAAGTAATAGAATGGGACATATTATGGCACATACAATGCATAATTAAATTTGAGACGAATCTTTTTTTTCTTTCATGGAGAAGAAGTAATGACGATATCTCGAAAATAAGCATTGGTTTACTTAGTATAGTAGTAGAAGTAGGAGGATGCAAAGGAAATTCCTGATGCTCCTGCCATACTACAGGTTAAGGGTGAAATTCAAAAATAGCTAAATTTACAAGTGTTGATTGAAAAACAGTCACAGTTTAAAAAATAATCGAAATTTAGCCATTTTTCATATAAAGATAAATTTGAACGAAAATACTGTTAAAATCCAGAAAATATTTCAACATAATATACTGGAGTTCCAACATAGTATACTGGAGTTTCAGCATAGTATACTAGAGTTCCAGCATAATATACTGGACTTCCAGTATAATATATTAGAAGTTCTAGTATAATATACTGGTCCAGCATAATATACTGGACTTCCAGTATAATATATTAGAAGTTCTAGTATAATATACTGGTCCAGCATAATATACTAGAAGTTCATACACAGGTGCTCCAGTCTCCAGTATATTATGCTGAAACTTTTCGTGTGTTGGAGTTCCAGCATAATATACTGAAAGTTCATACACATGTGCACCAATCTCTAGTATATTATGCTGGAACTTTCCGTGTTGCAGCAAAATTGTGGCTATTTTTCAATGACTTTGCAAACGCTGACTATTTTTCAATTACTTTGCAAACGCTGACTATTTTTCAATTACCAGTCCGAAAACTGGCCAGCCCGTGCTATTTTCACTCATGTTAATAGTTTCCATCGGACAAGAGTGGGTTGCTCTAGTGGTAAGCACTTTTCACTTCCAACCAAGAGGTTGTGAGTTCGAGTCACCCCAAGAGCAAGGTAGGGAGTTCTTGGAGGGAGAGAGTCGGGGGTCTATCGAAAACAGCATCTCTACCCCAGGGTCTATCGGAAACAGTCTCTCTACCCCAGGGTCTATCGGAAACAGCCTCTCTACGCCAGGGTAGGGGTAAGGTCTGCGTACACACTATCCTCCCCAAACCCCATTAGTGAGATTATACTTGGGTATTGTTGTTGTTTAATACTTTCCATCGCTTATTCAAGATTGTGCCCTCAGATTTGACAGCGAACTTAAAATAATTTTGAAGTAAAATTGTTGTTCACAAGTTTGTGACAGAATTATACGTCACAAATTGAGTCAAAACCTCTTAAATATGCTATGCAATCTTTTATATTTTCAACCACGTTCTCAAGGGTGTTGGCAAGTGATCTATGAAGTTGTATATCAAGTTCAAATTTTAACAGAGATAAATCATCTACCTAAATCATGATAGAGTAAAATTATCTCGTACTTATATTGATGAAAAACAATATGAATATTTGTTGAAATAATCGAGGTAAATGTTAAATTATCTGTGTGGTTTCAATCACCGTGATTTTTTCAAGTAAATCTTTTTTCAAACCAAAAAGAGAGAGCTGCACAAAAAAACAATCAGTTTCTGCTCTTTTAGTTCCTAATAATATTGAACAACTACAAAATGGTTAATTAATTTTTTCTTTTAAAATGAAGAGAATTTCAGTACTGTAGAGTTATTCAAACAAAAACAAAAAAAGCAAATAATATAATACTTATTACATTTGACTATAGCAATTGCAAATTAGAAATTGGAAACTGGAACAGTTATTGCGCTTTGCGCCCAAATATTTGTTGGCAACACGTCTATATGTTCAACGGCAGCACGTGGCTACACGCGCCCACACCGTTCTGTGGCATTTCCGGCCCCATCCTTCATCGAACACCGTCAAAACTCGCCGACGGTGACTTCTCGATGTCCTCTTCCGTCCGAATCGCCGTCGTCGGCGACGTCGTAAGCATTTTCAGTTGCTACTGAAGTCTTAATTTGTTACTTTCTTTTTTTTCTTTTTTATATTTTTGTAATTTGAATTATTTTGCTTTTTCTTTCATTTTTTTTTTTTGTAATTTGAATTGATTTAGTTTCTTTTTTTTATGGAAATGTTGAAAATTGGGAAGCATGATGATTGGAACCTAGAAGAAGATAGGAAGGCTCTTCAATTTTTGAAGGTATTTAGCATGTTTAATTTTATTAATTACTCTCTACGTTCCAATTAATATGATGGTATTTGACTAAGCTATAAATATTTGTGTAGCTACAAATCATATTAGGTAAAATAGAAAGTTTAATGTTAAATTATTTATAAATAAGAAAGCATGACATTCCTTTTGTGACGGGCTAAAAAAGGAGGTGTACCACGTAAATTGAGATGGAGGGAGTAATTTATTCTGTTTTCTGAAAAAGTTCTTTTTTTGTGCTAGGGTTGTTGAGGTATTGCTTATTGTGAATAAGCTAGTTTCTAGAATGCATAAAGCATATTTCTGTAGTTTACAAATAATCCAGCCAAAGTAACAGGAATTAATTGACCAAATTTTAGTACTTCGAGCTGACTTTGTATTGAGTTTGGTTCTATTAACCGTTAAAAAGGTGCACTAGCGAAGCTCTAGAATTTGGGTTATCATCTCAATGAAAGCTCTCTGAATTGAATTGATTTACTAAAGGAAGCCAAACTTGCCTTTAATTTGAAGCTCTTGATTACCAATTGTTATTACTCTTAACATGCCGCACTATGTACCGTAGTATGCATTAACAATTCGTGGTATGGGACATCATGGTATCTGTTGGTAAACCCTTGTTTCATGGAGCTCTCTGTCATGCTAAACTTTCCCCTAAATTGCCTGGCGTATTAAAACATTTCCTGTGTAGATGTTGCACGAGAGGATGGTAACTACAATTTATATAGTTTTGCTTGTCTTGCTTTTGCATCTTCTTTTCCCCTTGCTCTTCGCCTCTCCAAACTCAACCATAGTTATATCTTGGTGTGTAACACATGAATTTGTTGGCTAATTCTATCCCGCTCCGCTCTTCTATTAAGGTTATTAATTGGAAGGGGAAAAAATATATCATGACTAGCAAAATATTTCGTGCAAAGCAAAAATAATTTCATCAAAGACTCAAAGTTGTACAAATTATCTTCATATTTTATTCCTTTCGTTAATGGATAAATTTAGCAATTGCTGCTAACTTGCTCCTCTGAGCAGTGCATATGCTTTGGCTATGATATATTCGACACATGTAATTGCACTTAGGTCTTCAAGAACATTTTTAGAAATCAAGATCTGAGTGTTGCTTCAGAGTTCCTAACAACAGTTCCTCTCTGTTCTGCTCCTCCGACATTAAAAGACATGATCTTTACCTGCTTTGGTATCTGATTAGCTACTATATGGTAAATAAATTGCAGCTTTGCCTTTAGTGTTGTTTTGAGGGATGATTCTCTATTACTTATCAAAAACAAATGGCGTAGCCATACAACATAACCATGAGATATCATGAAGTGCAAGCTTCATTATCCAAAACTAACTTTAGAAACTACTCTTTTGGGAGGATCCCTTGTATTTTCACTTTTTCTTTCTTTTTTGGGAAGGGGAGCCTTGGAGCAACAGTAAAGTTGTTTCCGCGTGGCCTATAAATCATGGGTTCGAGCCATAGAATTAGCCACTTAGCATTGCGTAAGGGTAAGTTGCCTACACTACATCCCCTTGGGGTGCGGCCCTTTCATGGACCCTGGTTGAACACAGGATGCTTTGCTCACTGGCTGCCCTTTTTCTTTCTTTCTTGGGACAACGAAAACCTTCTCTTGGAGAGATCCTTTTACTTTTTCATGTATAACATCATTTTGTATTTTCATTTCCTTCTGTCAGCTAATGATATTTGTTTTGTGAAAATTGCAGCCGGATTTGGTGCTCTTCACAGGCATGTTTTCTTATTATCTCCCATCTATTTATCCCCAATATGTACTACATAGTTATTGTTTTCTTTCAACTACTATTTTCATTCACCAGCCAAGTGAGATTGGAAGAATAATCGGTTCACTTCATTTTATCCTTGCTTCAGGGGATTTTGGGAATGAAAATGTGGATCTAGTCCGAAGCATTGCAGATTTGGAGATGACCAAAGCTGTTATTCTGGGGAACCATGATGCATGGAATACTCAAAAGTTTTCTGGAAGGCAAGTCCAAGTTCCACTTTCTCCGATTGCTTACACATATGTCCTCTAAATTGACCTGTCTTTAGCTTACACTTACCTGTTTATATATGTCAATACTTTACTTTCTTATGTGACATCTGATTTTTAACTTGCTATTAGCGATTGGATACATCTTATTCTCTTTCCTTTAACTATGCTTCAAGCATAGTATATAACTGGATATTTCTCATTTTCTTCCTAATTCATTCCTGAAATAATTTCATTTTACTTGTTTTGCTGGCCAAGCTCCATTTATCAATGCAACTTGAAGAATTACTATCAGGATCTCTAAGTACCGGATCGCGTTGTGGTGTTACACTCTGGTATCCTTATGAAAGTTCTAATCAATCATGATATCTGAATTCAGTCTCCTGAAACCAGAAATCAAATTCTTTTGAAGTTCTTTGACCATCCACATGGTTGAATTTAAAAACCTGATGGATTTGTTTTACGGCAAACACTGTCTTATTCGTTTTCCATTATTGTTGGAATTCAAACTCAGGTAGATATGGTGGCATATGGTGGTAGTCGGATTAGTGTTGTAGCTTCATGAAGGTTGTGATTGGTAATTGTGAATGGGGTGACAACAGTGGTGACGTGTGAGTAGGATTAATTAGCACTGCCATTGGTGGTAGAGCTTGTGGAAAATGATGAATCTAAAGGACGAATCTATCCTAGAACTTACAAACATAATTGTCAACAACATAATGGCTTTGAAAATATGAAATATTAAAAGGATCCGAGATATTGTTAGATTCAACTTTTTCCTGTCCGCTTACTTGCATATCTCCTTGACAAAAAAAAATTCTCTAATTTTGATATGCTCTACCTCTTAGGTCTGCTTTGCTAAATTCATCTACTTGTTCTTTTTCTTAGTGTGTGCTGTTCCAATATGTAGGGAAAAAGATGCTGTTCAACTTCAGCTGGAATGGTAAGTTTTTCGAGATATATAATTATTTAGTGTCACTAAATCTATAGATCCATATATCAAATAGTGTGGCTATATGCTTATTGATGATGTTTAGGACTGTCAATTTCTCACTTTGGCTATCTGGTATGACTTTCCATCTCGTGTTTCTCACAATCTCTCTCCCTCCCTGTCTCAGAAGTAAGGGAAGATAGATGATAAAATGGATCATTATACTGTAGATATAAATTAAATAGCCAGGATCCAGAAAGGTCCTCTTGGTACATCTGCTGGTGGTTGGACTATGTACAACCGACCCATGTAGCAAGTAGGTTATGGAAAACAAAAGGTTATACAACAGGATTATGGTTATATCTGCACCAATCTGGACAGTATTTGCTGTTAAAAGAAAATATAGCAATGTAAACATAACGAAGGGCATGTCCTTTTGCAGGGCAATTATCCATGTGCAGGTATTAGGATGGTGCCACAAGCATAATTCTCCACAATGCTGGCACATAAAAAGTTTTGTAAAGTTGCATATTATAAATTTAATGCCACAAGTAGTCCGAACTAAGTTTAAAATTTAGGTTTACTAATTAGTCTTTCTTGGTACAAGGAGCGCCGACTGAGGTGAACCCCACGCCCGGTGAACAAAGATTGATTCTGAGACTCTGGCTCATGTTGTGAAGATTTCTATTAATAATCAACCATCTGCATATGAATATGTTCAATAGTTCAATTCCTTTGATTATCTATCTGCTTATATGACGAGCTTTATACCAGAATATGAATCAGACAACCAAGTCTTCTCCATAACAGAGTGTTTCTATCTTCACCTTTTCATTTCTTTAGCGGAGCTCATATTTCATGCTGTCCATCTGTGTCCTACCTTATATAGTATAAGGAAAAGAATTTATATTGTAAAGGTTATCTTGTTGGCATGCTGACAATTTATAATGGTCAGTCTTGGTGATGAGCATGTTGGTTACCGTCGGATGGATCTCCCTATGCTAAAACTCAGTATTGTTGGTGGACGACCTTTTTCTTGTGGTGGTAGACCCTTGTTTCGGAAACAGCTTCTCAAAGCAAGGTTTGTGGTCCTAATCTCTTGTTTGTTAGTTATTTCCCTTTCAATGCATATTGACACTTCACCCTAACTTTATCTATAATTGGTTAATGTTGCTTAGCCCGAGTATCTAAACAACTTATAGCATCGTCTGTAAATTTGAGAACTGTAATTTTTGTCTGCACTTATGGTTTGAAGTTTCTAATACATTGTGCACTTGAAGTTGTTAAAGTGTGATTCTCCAATGTAGGCATCGACTCTTTTTAGTGTTAGAAATTTACACTCTTTATAGTCTTACAAATTTACATGCCTAATTCACAAGTTTTATCCGCAAATGCTTGAATAATACATTACAAGTCATCAACAAAATGCCTGAATTTGTTTCATTCGTCGCATGTTTTTCCGTTTGCTTCTTCTAGTTGTGGAGTGTTCTTATAGCATAAACTATGGAAATAACCTGACTGCCTGATATATTGAAGCTGAATCCTTATAACATTTATTAATTTTCTCTGATCAGAAAGGAAAACTTTCCATATACCATTATAGTTTATAACCAATTTTATGAATTCTGGTTCTTATGTTTCTTGTTTGATAAGCAAAAAACGTAAGCTGTATGAAGGGCAAGGTAGAACAAGATCTTAGAAATTGAGGGAATAATCCAGGAGAAATTAAGTAGTAGCAAAAATGTATTTATAATCTTTATAACTGGTATAATTCAGTTCTTCATTTGTTAAATAGACTACTATAAGACTTAATTTGTTATTGTTTATTTTGTGGTATGTCCTTTTTTCATTTGATAGGAAATTTTCATCTTGTCGTGTACATTAACAAAATGGCACCAAAGAAGCGCCCCCCTCCCCTTGAAGCTTGTTTCTTTTCTCTTCTCTGGTTCTGATGATAAATACTTCAAATTCATGAAGCACTCGATCAGATTGATGATTAACATTTTTCTTTTCCATTGTTGCTGCCACCGGATCACTTTTGCTCAATGGAAACCATGAAATTTCTATTAAGAAATTGCTCAAAAACTAATATTTAAGAATATAATGACTTCATAGTTGTCTCTTGTACCTATATCAGAAGTGGCTCTGGCCAAATAGCATCTTATCATGCAAATAATATCTGCAAGCTCAACCGTCTGCTTTAACACTCTGGATGTAGCTTAGATTGTGACTTGCAACTCTACCGTATTGAAATTACCTTCTTAGGTATGGAGTCCATGATATGGATAGGAGCGCCGAGAGAATCTTACAAGCTGCCATGGGCACTCCAGAGGACCATTCACTTATATTCCTTGCACATAATGGCCCCACAGGTGTATTAGCTTGCTGAAGTAGTATTTGTTGAGGTACTTCTACCTGTTGCTGGAAATTTTTGAGGTTTTAAGAGTAAGACATGCAGGGCTAGGTGCTAAAATAGATGACATCTGCGGAAGAGACTGGTTTGTTGGAGGTGGCGACCATGGTGATCCAGGTAATAATTATTACTTCCTCGGTCCCAATTGATTTGGCGGTGTTTGAATTTCGTGAGTCAAACGAGTTTTGTTTACCGTGATTTTTCATATGCCTTTTTATTTATTGTGACTTTATAGTACTTTTTACATAGTTTCCAAATATGTAAATTTTATTTCAAAAAATTTAAAGATTCTATGTCTGAATTCACGATCAAAATTAAGAAGTTTGAGTCTCGAAATCTGAATTGTTCCACATAAATAGGGACAGAGGGAGTAATTGATATCTTTGTTTCTGAAGTCCTTCAACGGGACAACCCATTTATCCTGATGAGAGCAGTATATCCAAATCTTGATTAATCAAATCTGCTCAACTTCAAAACAAGTTGTTTCATGTTTTTGTTTCATCAGCATATGATCGTTACATTTCGTGCAGATCTAGCGCAGGCCTTGGCCCAATTAAAAGAGGCTGCTCCATATTCGGTCCCCTTGGTCATTTTCGGTCACATGCATAAACAACTTGCTTTAGGAAATGGCTATCGTAAAATGATAGTGGTTGGAAATGATAGTACCATATACTTGAATGGAGCTATTGTTCCCCGGGTCAGACCCCCAGCTTTGACAGCTGAATCCGAAGGCACATCGCGAGCCTTCACCATCGCAGAAATTTCAAATGGAAGAGTGGAGAAGATAGCAGAAACTTGGATTTCTGTCATCGGAGACAAAACAAGATTAGAGGAGGAACATATACTGTTTAATAGTCCAAGCAGAGGTTCTGTCACTGCCTCTCTTTTGTAGATGAACAACACAATGTGAATGTGTATACGAATGAATTTGTACATGATCGTCATTTTGTTTGGCGTGTGTATAATGCAAACTTGATCCCGGCCCCCATGTGCAGCCCAGAATACCAATCTGCTTGCTTCTCTGGAAAGGAAAGATTCATATGATCATTTGTTATTCAAGAGTCACTTTATATGTACTGTCTTCAAGATTACATTATGTGCCATGATAAACACAATATCAAGTTGCGCGCTTCTGTCATAACGAACTCTGTAGCTGGAGGAGAGGGAGACATTTACACACTACCCTCGACGAAGAGCATTGGGTTGTTGCAGGTCAGGTTTTATTTTAAATTTTGTTAAGTCTATATGAACTGTTTATAATGCTACATCAGCTTTTGGTAGCCACTAGCCAGAACTTGGACAAATCCGGCCAAGGGACTCTTAGTGTGATATGGGTATAGAAAAGTGACTTTTCTGTTGTAAAATAAAAATGACTTTACCATATAATTTTCAATAGTTGAGTGTCCGTTTGAGCAATGAACTCTACACTTTTTCCCGCAACTATTTCCCTCTCATTGAGGAGCTTGAACTTGTGTGTAATGATGCTGCCAAATATACCATAAGCCTAATGGTATATTAAGATGGAATTTGATGTGAAAAATAGAGTTAAATAAATTACTACGGGCAAAATTGTGAGGCTCTTATTCAAATTGCTTATTGCTTCTCTAATATGAAGGTGTCTTCTTACGAAATTGATCTCTAACATATTATTTCATCCATTCTAAAAAGATTAACTCTTGCTTAAAAGAGTTTATTTCAATTTTAAAAACATAATACGATAATAAAATTCTGCAATGCCAATGCACAATGCAATTAGATTTTGAACTTTTGAAACCTAAAAAACAACAAACAACAACAGACCCAGTGTAATCCCATAAGTGGAGTCTGGGGAGGGTAGTATGTACGCAACCCTTACCCTTACCTTTAAGAAGGCAGATAGGTTGTTTCCGAAAGACCCTCGGCTTAGGAAAAATAAAAGGAAGGGCATCAACAATCACACCAATTTTAAAACCGAAGCAAAAATACAAAGATACAAAACTAAAAATGAGTATTGTAATCAGAAGGCCGAAACGAAAGCAACGACAAGTAATCACATAAATCAAGGAATACGGAAATACATAAATAACGCGCATGTACTAAAGTTACTGTTACAGACAAAGATAACGCCAACCGACCTATTCTAACCCTTTACCTTTATTCTGAACATCCACACCTTCTTATCCCTAGTCATGTCCTCAGTGAGCTGGAGTAACGCCATATCTTGACTAATCACCTCTCCCCAATACTTCTTCGGCCTACATCTACCTCTCTTTAGGCCCTCCAGGGCCAACCTCTCACACCTCCTCACTAGTGCATCTGCATCTCTCCTCTTCACATGTCCGAACCATCTAAGTCTCGCCTCCCGCATCTTGTCCTCCACAGAGGCCACACCACCTTATCTCGAATAACTTCATTTCTAGTCATATCCAGTCTAGTATGCCCGCACATCCATCTCAACATCTTCATTTCAGCCACCTTCATCTATTGGACATGGAGTTCTTGACTGGCCAACACTCAGCCCCATATAATATAGTCGGTCTGACCACCGCTCTATAAAACTTACCTTTAAGTTTAGGTGGCACATTCTTATCACACAAAATACCTGAAGCGAGCTTCCATTTTATCCATTTCGCCCTAATACCATGTGTAACATCACCGTCGATCTTTCCATTCCCTTGTATAATCGACCCAAGGTATTTAATACTCTCTCTACTAGGGATGACTTGAGAATCAAGCCTCACTTCTCCGTCCCCACCTTGAGTCGTCCTACTGAACTTGCACTCCGAGTACTTAGTCGGTCCTGCTCAACTTGAAACCTTTAGACTCTGGGGTCTGCCTCCAAATCTCTAACCTTCCATTAACACCGCCTTGCATCTCATCAATCAGAACAATATCATCTGCAAATAACATGTATCGCGACACCTCTCCTTGAATATGGCGCGTCAGTGCGTTGATCGCTAAGGCAAATAGAAATGAACTGAGGGCTGACCCCTGATGCAACCCCATCATAACTGGGGAAGTGTTCCGAGTCCCCTCCCACGATCATCACTCAAGTCTTAGCTCCATCATTAATAACCCTAATGTAATAACAGGAACACCTCTAACCTCTAAACATCTCCACAGAATCCCCATTGACACTTTATCGTAAACTTTCTCTAAGTCGATGAACACCATATGTAAATCCCCCTTCCTCTCCCTATATTGTTCTATCAACCTCCTAACAAGATGAATAGCTTCCGTAGTCGAACGACATGGCATAAATCCAAACTTATTTTCAGAAATATCCACAATCCTCTTCAACCTCAACTTCACCACCCTCTCCTAGACTTTCATAGTATGACTTAGTAACTTGATGCCCCGGTAGTTGTTCCATCTTTGGATGTCACCCTTATTCTTATACAGTGGGACCATCGTACTCTATCTCCATTCTTCGGGTATTTTTATCGTCCTAAAAATGACATTAAATAACCCAGTGAGCCACTCCAAACCCGCCCTACCCACGCTCTTCTAAAATTTCACCGGGATATCGTCAAGGCCGGTCGCTCTCCCCCTGCTCATCTTACACATAGCCCCCTTAACCTCCTCAGCTCTTTATACGTCTACAATACTCAAAGTCCTGACGACACTCAGAGTGTTCTAAGTTGCTAGCTCAATGGTCCTATCCCCCTATTCATTCAAGAGTTTATGGAAGTAAGTCTACCATCTATGACGAATCAGTGCCTCATCCAACAAAACTCGGTCGTCCTCGTCCTTGATGCACTTCACTTGGTCCAGGTCACGGGCCTTCCTTTCTCACACCTTGACTAACATGTACAACTTCTTATCCCCTCCTCTACCTCTGAGCTATTCATACAAGCGTTCAAACGCACCGGTCTTAGTCGTAGTAACTGCTAACTTCGCTTCCTTCTTAGCCATCTTATACTGTTCCCTATTCATCCTCTTCGCCTCTTCGTCCACGCTCTTCATAAGCTTCAGATATGCCACTTTCTTGGCCTCTATTTTACCTTGAACCTTAGTACTCGACCACCAATCCCCTTTACGACCACCAGATGAGCCCTTCGAGACCCCTAATACCTCTTAGCAGCCTCCTTAATGCAATTCGCCATCGCGGTCCACATACTATTCGCATCCTCACTACTCCTCCGTGCTCCCATATCCAGCAACTTATCTCTCAAATCATGTGCTCTGTCTTTTGTCAAAGCTCCCCACTTGATCCTAGGTAGACCAAACACAACCATCTTTGTACGCTTCCTCGTGATCTCCAAGTCCATGACCAGAAGCTTATGACAAGTCGTGAGGTTCTCACTCGGGATGACATTGCAGTCCGCGTACAGACCTTTGTCAGACTTCATTAAGAGTAGATAATCAATCTGGGTCATGGTCGCCAAACTCTGAAAGATGACCAAGTGCTCTTCCTTTTTCGGGAAACTAGAGTTAGCAATTACCAAATCGAAAGACTTAGCAAAATCTAGCAGGGACGTACCTGAAAAACAAAAACAAAAAAAACAAAAATGATAAGCTAAAAAGTCTTTCAAACGGACTTATTGAGTTGATGTCGATAGCAAGTGAATCGATTGTTATTAAAACCGTCGAGATTTCAAAATCTTCCTTATTTTTCTTAAACTATGTGACCAGTCAAACTAAGACATATAAAATAAAACTTAAGGAGTAAAAGAAATAGAAAAAAATTAAAATAAAAAAAGAGTGGAGTAAACCTTAAATGAAGCCCTACTAATTGCTACTCCCTCCGGTAATAAGTGAGTTTTTGAAATTTGCACACCCATTAAGAAAATATTAACTCTTAGACATAAAAATATATTTTTATTAAATTATCCTTAATTAAAATTTACATATTATTAACTTGATACTTTGGAATATATAAATAAGGAAACAATTTACAAAAATTAAGTTAATTTCTTCTCGATTATGTAAAAAAAAAATACTTATTTTATACTAAAATAAAAATGCCAAAGTTCACTTATTATATCGGAGGAGCTAGGAAGTATAATACAATTGCATTGGACAAGGCACTGCTTGTTGTAGACTTAAAAAGTCCTATAAAGTACAAGAAAAATGAAAAACAAAAACTATGATAAGTTGATCTATGGAAAACTCAATTCTCATTTCCCAAGACTTAATAAGCTAGTAGTAAATACTAAAATGAAAAAAAGAAAGAAAAGAAAGGTAAAACAATGATGACCCTTTACCTAGATTTCTTCAAAAAGTGAAAATAGTAAGCATAACTAATCTAAAGTTGTAAACATTATGCTTCTGTTGACTCATTCTTTTCATAAATTAAAACACTTGAGGACAGACAGAGAACCCTTTAAAAGTTCAATCCCACTTTATAGCTTTTATAGTTAGTGCACCAAATTCTAAGCATTCTAATGAGGCTCTTTTGGCCCAATTCTTTTCCTTTAAACTAAAGCTTCCTCTTTTTAAAGTTTTTAGGAAAGAAATAAAATAATTGCAACTTTAGTTTAGTACGGTCTTGAGCAACTGTATTGTTATTTTCGTGTGACATATGAGTTACGGCTTCGGTATACGGAAGTCGTCACTAAAACTTGTGTTAGGGTATATTATCTATATCACACCATTCGAGAAACAGTCATTTTCCGACCCTACGTCAATACGGGATACTTTATGCATTGGGTTGTCCCTTTAATTTTTATTTTTTATTTTTTATTCCCTCCCCCACCCCAATTTAGGAGATTTTATAGTGTTTTCACACCTCCCTCCAGCGTGACTCGAACCCAAAACCTAACGATAGCAAGCGAAAGTGTTTTTACTAACAGGAATTCTCCCCTTTAGTTAGTTTAGTACTACCCACATCTTTGTTTTCTATATTTATTGGGGTGTGGTTATGGCATACTAAAAGAAATGTGTGTACAATCAGTCACTGATGATGGCTACTTCATTAAAGTAGGCCAACCAACCTCAACCAATCCCCCCACACAAACACACATAAAAGTTTAGGTTGGCCAGGTAACAAATTAGCTTATGTAATGATGCAGCATTTAATTGATACTAAAAGTAGGTTAGATTTTCCACATCCATGTTAAACATGAGATCCAATAACAAAATCTTTTTATAGTATAATTTATGTATCATAACGAAATTTATAAATCCAAACTAAAAGTAGTTGTGGAGCGTAGGAAACAACAAAAACTTACATGTATTTGCTATTTATATCAACTAAATAAATATATATATATATATATATATATATATGTACTTTTATCACTAACCATAAATTATTACTACTATATATTGAATCACCTCAATTAATCGCTTAAATATAGTCAACTAACGTGGTTCATAGTAAACACTGGGTGTTTAGTTTTTTCCGTAGAGAACTTTAGGTACAGAGGGTATGGAAATTGGAAACATTAAGTTTGACAATTCTCTAATAGGGACATATTATGTTAAATTTACTCGCATCTCGTGTTTACATTCAATTATATTAATTTATCATGATTAAGTTATTTAATAATTAAGATAGTGATTAACCATTATATTTAATGTATAGTGATTAACCATAATTAAGAGCAAGAAGTACTTGGCAAACATATCTTACCTCTTTTAATTTGATATAAACATCTGGTATACGAATAAATTTTTATGAACGTAATAGCCTTAATTGAACCTTTTCCACTTAATTAAATAGAGAATAAGAAGACCTAACTGGACAAAAGTGGTCGGTCATAACTTATAAGTTATTGAGTTACAATTAAATTGTAACATCTTACTCATTAAACTTGGATTGGACATATGAGTCTAGCCAGTGGCGGAGTCACATTCAACTAAAGGGTGTCAATCGATATCCCTTCGTCGGAAAATTATATTGTATTGCTAGATAATTATTTGTTTTATTTTATATATATTTACTATACGTTGACTCTCTTTAACTTTTCGGTATATCTAATTTTTTATATTTTGACACCTCTTGGTGAAAATTCTGGCTCCGCCACTGACTCTAACCAGTCAAAAAGTAATGTTTGATATTTTCTTTTGTCACTCTTGGCATGCAAATTACAGCTAAAATTTACCCCAGATTATTCTCAACTGTCATGATATGCAACCTCTTCAGCTTTCATCATGTCACAAGAATAAATTGCCATTTGCTTAGCTTCTTTGGGAGTTGAGATGACAATAATTATTACGTCTCAATTCCAAATTTAGTCGGGCTTCAATTATTACGTCTCAACTCCCGATGTTGAATTTAGTCAAGTTCCAATACAGATACCAAACACCGGATAGAAAACTAAAAAAAATTAAAAATCTGAGTCCAAGTTGCTCTTTAAATGAAAGAGGACCAAAATCTAAGAGCTAGTAGATAGCCATATTGGCTTTGTTGGGGACCCCTCACAGCTTTAATTTGTGGTCCGAGAAAATTTAATTCAAAGCACAAATAATTTTCTTATATTTATTAATTCCTACGTAATCTTCTCATGCAAATGTCTTATCCTTTTTGCTTTTAATTTTCTTTCTATCTGTTATTAGCATACTAATCACATGCTTTATGACTATGTCCTCTTTCTCATAATGACAAGTTGACTATAATTACTTTAGTCCTCATAATTATTATTTGTACTACCTTTTTAGTCATTATTTGTTTAATCAATCTAGTGAGTTTCTATCTTAATGATGTTTAAAAGAAATATTAATTACAGTATGTAGCAAAAACTCCACATTTCCTCGAACATTTATTGAATTAGTAATAGAGAGTAAATGTGATAATTTAGAGATCATTGCCTGATAAAAAATGTAAGAGCATATAAAGAAATATTTAACTTTCCTGATTAAGAAAATTTGATAAAATAAATAAAAAATAGTAGACAAACTTAGGATGAATTTAGTACTCCTTCATTCAATTTTACTTGTCCATTATATTGAAAAAATATTGTTCACTTTTACTTGTCCAGTTTGAAAAAACCAAGACATAATTTACTTATTTTATATATATATNCCTAACATATTATAATTAGGGGTGATATAGTAAAATAATCATTTTATTAATTGTTTCTTGAGGAATATGCCAAGTCAAACATGGACGAGTAAAAATAAACGGAGGAAATAATAAGAACTTGTGCCACTAAAAGTTGTAAAGGAATAGTAAATGCTCATCAATCGTTAATCAAAGTCTCGAATTTGACCCCTCATATATAATCGCCTTTAATAGAAAGCATTTATCATTTCAAGTTATAATTTTTCGGTGTGATTCCGAATTAGTCAGGCCAAATATTATGTATAACTTGTAACTACTATAGCACTAAACGTAGAGCATCAAACAAAAGAAAATTATTACAAATATAATATAAGAATTTAAGGACAAACTTTGTAACAATATAAGATCCAATAAAGGAAGGTTCAAAGTTTGGCCAAAAACAGAACAAGACAATGAAAGAATGTTTGAATCTGACATTGTCTCTCTGACACACCAATCTGAAAAATAAAACTTCGTTAAATTATTTAGATCTCCATAGCAGCCTTTGACCGAATCTTACTATCATTTTTTCTTAATCTTTATTTTCTTTTAACTATTTTTTTTCTCTCCGTATAATCTATAGGTTACGAGTTTGAGCTATTGAAGCAGCCACTAATAGTTTGAGCCGTGAAAACAGCCACTAATACTTGTATTAAAGTAGGCTATCTACATCACACCCCTTGAGATGCGGCCTTTTTCCGAAACTTACGTGAACACGAAATACTTTATGCATCGAGTTGCACCTATTTTTTCTTTCCTTGTACAAATCTTTTAAATAGCTAGTAGTAATAGTAATTTTCTTGAGGTTCTCATGGTTTTTTTTTCAACTTTTATGAACTAATTTTCACATTAAACTCATTATTGTCCTTGTTGGAATATGATCGTCGATATAAGATTTTGCTAACCTACTAAAATCATAGGACTAATAAATTGGCAGTGTCCCTGTTTTATCTTTTTCTTAAATTTTGTATGCAATCAAGGTAAATTTGAATTTTTTTTTAAAAAAGTAAATTATTGTTGTGCCCATTGACTTCATCTAAAATAGTAGCTATGAGTTAAATAAAGTTCAAGTACTATCTTCTAATTGTTAGTTATGATGATTGAATTTTCAATCTAAAATCTTCAACTACCAATTATTGTATAATATTTAGGTAGACTTTAGTTGAAACAAACTTTTATCATTAATTATAAAAATATAATTTGTGTGATCATGAATTGCATGTTTATTTAGTAAATAATTAACTTCATCTAACACTTGGCAATTCCACAACTAACTCTATCTTCCTACCGTAATCCAATGATACAACTATTCTTGCTCCCTCTAGTTCACTTTAATTTATTTTTTTTATTTTCACACATATTAAGAAATTTATTTTTTAACATTAATTAATAATAAAATTGATCATATTAACAACTTTTACTATCTCGTTAATTTATTCACCCAAAGAAGTTAATTCTTTCTTGATATCTGAAAAAATTAAATATTATGGACCATAAAAAAAAAGTCAAAAAATTAATTGAAATGGACCGGAGGAAGTAATATGTTCTTAATTTAAGTTATGTGAATAATTTACACAATCAGATCACTTATAATTTAATTGCAGATAAATCTCTATTATAAGCATTACTTGGTAACTTATTAAAAATAATAAGTAACCGACTATAATAGATTAAACTGAACCAATTGTGTAAAAAATCTTAATGCAAATATCTCTCTCTCTTTTTGTAAGCATAAAACAATTCTTGAAGGCTAAACTTGACTTTTCACCAAGTCATAGATAATGGGCGCCCATAAATGATGAATCAAAAGAGAAAAAATATTATTAGAAAAAAAGTGTGTAATAAATTAATAAATAAAAATAATACTACCAGCCAAAAAATAAGAAATAAACAATAAACAGTGGGCATTTTACAGATCATCTGAAAAAACCAACATGCACCAGTTCTCTTTGCTTCTTTTAATTCTTTGTTTCCCCCAATACACACACCACACCCCGCTTAGATCGGATCTTTCTCAACAAACCGCTCAAAAACAACAACAAAACAAAACCCAATTTTTTTTTATTTTTTTATATATACAAAAAAATAGACCAAGAACTTTCTCTCCCATATTTTCTTGCAAAAAAGATTGATGCTTTTGCCGAATTCATGGCCTAAATTTTTATTGAATGATTTTATTGTCAAATTTAGGTTGTTGGGTTTTTGATAATGGGGAATGTAACAGCAAGTGTAGCTGCAAAATTTGCATTTTTTCCACCAGACCCACCAACATATGAAGTATTTAAAGATGAAGAAGAAAGTAGTAGGCTTTGTTTTAGTGGAATAACAGCTGATAAGAATGTGAATGTTCATTTATTGGATACAAAAGGTGGTAATAAAATTGTAGCCACTTTTTGGAAACACCCAAATGGGAGATTTACTCTTCTTTATTCTCATGGAAATGCTGCTGATTTGGGACAAATGATTGATCTTTTTGTTGAGCTTAGAGCTCACCTCCGTGTTAATATTATGTGGTATGTTAAATTCCTTTTTTCTTGGTCATATTCTTCTCTTATTTCTTTACATCATTGTATGTGCGCGCATTAATTTTGGAAATGAAGCTTGGCGTAACTGGTAAAATTGTTGTCTCCATATTACCAGGAGGTCACTGTTCGACAGCCTTAACACATCATACAATATACCTTTGTGGTGCGTCTATTCCTTGGACCCCGCGCATAGCACACGGGGCTGCCCTTTATTGTGTGTGTTTTGTTTGTAGGAGTGTTTTAGAATGATTAATTTCATGGGTTTTGCTTGTTTTTATAGTATTGTTAATGGTTGTTCCAAAGTTTTAATCTTTACAATGTTTTTGTTGTATGTTCCATGTATGAGCTTGAGTTTTTAATTTTCCTTATTGTTTTGTGG